CCTGTGTACTTAATGGAGAACAAAGCCATTTCTGCTGTGCAACAGAAAGACAAATTACTTGCTGAGCCAACAAGCTATTTTCATATTAACCTGCCAGAGGACACAGCTTTATTAACTTTAAATGACAGAAGCATGTGGGAGAACCATCTAAACTATGCAAATTGCAAATAAGACAATTGCCCCGTGGCTTTCATCTTTATTTTCACATTGTTGAGGACCTTCTCCAATGAATGGAAAATGTATTCCATTAATCAATATTTGATTGGGCTTGATTAAAGTTGTGTTTGCCAACATTTATTAGATTTCTCTAATAAATATATTTTAAAAAACAATATTTATTAGATTTCTCAAAATCTTGCAGGTGGGAAAGTGGATTATTTAAATAAATGATGGCAGTTAGGACTTCAGACATTCCATAGCCCCCAGCCCTATGTAGCAGGAAACATAAACACAGCGTATGTAGTCATGTGATCTTCTGAATCAAGCTGGCTATGGACAGCTTGAAGAAGCAAATTAAGTTAGGTGGTGTTATACCAAGATTCTTTGAGGTAGGTTTGAGGCACAATAGCTGAAAACGTATCTATTGCACTACACTTATAAGTGAGATTGATTGGCAGGATCCAATCGACCCTAATAGTGAGTTTCCCTGTGGCATCTGGCTGGCTACTGTTGGAAACAGGAGAGTGCTGGATCATTGACTTTATCCAGTATGACTACTTTTATGTTCTGGCTTTTACGTTATAACAAGCTAGAGGTAATAGGAATCCTAAGGAAGGAAGGAACAAGTTATTTCTGTGGAAGCTTTCAATCTACTTCTGAATCACCTGTACTCCTGCAGAAGAGGAAATCTCCTCCTAGGCTGTTATCATACTGTCACAGTACAATCCTAGACAGAATTATACCCTTCCACTTCAGTGGACATAGGAGGGTGTAATTTAGGGCTGCCAAGTTTCCCCAGGGGGGCGGGGAAAACCCCACTCAATGGAACCTTTACCCGCCGGCCCGGATTGGGCTGCCCAGGGGAACCCTACCTCCAAAGTGCCGGACTCGCCAGACGTGCCTGGCGTGATGATGTCACCCAGAGGGGCGCTCTATAATCCGGTGGGGAGCTCTATAATTTAAGGGAAAACTCTATGGTTTTCCCTTGAATTATAGTGCCCGCACCCAACGTGCCTGACGCGATGACGTCACTTCCAGGTTGCATCATCACAGCATGCACAGTTCGCCCGCACGCCAAAGATCTCCCAGAGAGAGCCGGGACTCCCCCGCTAAAGGACTAGGTAGGACTTGGCAACCCTAGTGTAACTCTTGCTTATGGTAGCACTGTTAAATTCTTAAATATGACTGTTTCATGTGTTTCCCAGCTCGGAAAATCTGATACAAAAGTTACACTAGACAGCATGTACAATTACAAGCCATTCATTTCCCAGTTTCTAGTTGACATTAAATAATAATACAAGCAGGGCATTCCAGTTTAAAAGGCATTCCTGACTTCACTAGTGAAAACGCCCTTAAGCAGAATGTTGTCAAGTGCCTGACCCCTCTTCTATCGCCATCCAAGCTGAGATTTTGATCAACTGTGCTTTCCTGATGAGGGTCCCATGCTTCCTCTTGAACTACTTCCCCCTCATCTGAAGAGGTCAAAGATATCAGGGGCAAGGCAGCTTTCAAGGCTGAGGCTGGAAAGGTCAGATAAGGAAAAACAGGGTTTATGGCTCAGAAAGAAGAAGGTGCTTCACTGAAGGGTGATCCAGGTGGTTAGCCATGTTGGTCTGAAGCAACTGAACAAAGTTTGAGTCCAGTAGCACCTTTAAGACCAACAAAGCTTTATTCAAGGTATAACCTTTTGTGTTCAAGCACACTTCTTTTCACTGTATCTGAAGAAGTAATCCCTGGAGATCCCTGAGAGGCACTGCCAGTCTGAGTAGACAATACTGACCTTAATGGACTGACGGACTGATTCAGTACAGGGCAGCTTCATATATACAGGTGTTGTTCAGGTGTTCCAGGACTCTGTAGCTAGGAAGGTTCTTCCCTTCCTGGTTTTACAAGGCAGTCAGCTTGACAGAAATACTTGCAGTGAAAACTTAGCACAGAATAGGACATAGGGACAGATGGTAACTTTGACAACTGAGCCAAAGGATTGTTCGGTCAAAAAGGATGCACTCACAAGATAGGTACCCAGGAAGATTGTGAGATTTTGGAGAAGAGTTAGGAGTATAGTTGGTTTGTGTCAAAGTTACTAGACTCAAGATAAAAAGGGATCTCAATTCATGGGAGCAAATCACATATCTGGGCAAAGACTCAGGGCTATTTTGGGGCAGGAACGGAGTTCCGGCTGGCTCCCAAGTTGGCCACGCCCAGCAGGAACTCATTAGCATAATAGGCCACACCCAACAACAGAAACTCATTAGGACTGGCTACATTAGAGGTGTGTGGCCTAACATGCAAAGGAGTTCCTGCTACAAAAAAAGCCCTGGAGAACAAACAAGGTAAACAGAATAAGAAGCGAAAGGTGGGTGTGGCTGTATAACCACACTTCTGGTAACATGGGGGTGTTGCCTAATGTGCTAATGAGCTGTGCTGTCAGGAGTGTGACCCAATATGCTAATGAGTTCCTGCTGTTGGGTGTGGCCTATTATGCTAATGAGTTCCTGCTGGGCTTTTTCTACAAAAAGAGCCCTGCAAAGACTGATGGGCAATTGTGGTTATTAGAGGGAATGATGGGAAAGAGAACTTGCAGACTTTAAGATCCTGGAAAAAGAACAAGTTAACCTTGTGTGGTCCACTGTTGACAGAGTTCTAAAGGTTCATGAAGGCCAAAGCCCATACATTTATTTAAATCCCTCTTCTCCAAATCAATGCTCAGTCTAGGATATTGTAAATAAAGACTACTTCTGAGCATGTGCCAAGTACCTTTCCCTCACCGCTGAGTAAAAACCCAATTAGCAGCACCAAGAAGCAGGATTGTAACCATAAGGGTGCTGACAAGGGCGATGCCCCCTTCTGAAAGTGCCATGCCCTCTCACCAAACAGCCACAGCTTTTTTGTTATTTTACATACTAACAAACACTGTTTAGATTTGCTAGCTCTACCTATCTTCTTCTTGTTGTGATCCATTGTTATGTATACAAGCAACCTTTAGGGGCAAGTTTCCGCTTTGCATGTCTTTCAGTTTTGGCCCTCTACAGCTTCTCTTTGGCAGTCAGTAGTTGAGCAAGCTAAGCAAGAGGCTGGCTGCTTGTATACATTACAATATGCCCCTCTCCTCCTCAGGAGGGAGCCTGGGGTAACCATGTGGCTGTAACACCAATTCAAGCTTTCCTATCAGCTACAGCAACTGGGATCCATTGAACTCTTGCAAGGCTTGTGAAGGTGTCCTCTGTAAGTCACCATTCCTCATTAACACCTCAGGCATTTGGTAAATTTCTTGGCACCATTTCCTACTGCAGCCCTTTGTGCCCCTGAAAAGCTATTCTTGACATTTGCAGAAAGTCTGTGTTGGGAATGGAAGGAAGATTAATTTATTGAAAAGTTTCTATGGTGCCCTTCTTGCATTCAAGGCACCCTATGGCCAGTTTTCAAGGATGTTTTTACAAAATGAATGCACAGCTCAATAGGATGAAAGTTAAGCAGCACTCTAACCATGGAAAAACACTGAAAACCACTAAACTTCTCCATGCCCTACAAAAAGTTAATGAACTAAGAACTTCCCATATTTCCTCCCAGTAGGCCACAGTGTGAGTACCACAATGAAGAAACAACAAACCTTGTTGCCTATGGAATAGCCAACTAAAGGGCACCATCTGCAGGGACTGCTGAGTTTCTCCAAGCTGACTCATGGGAACAAATGGGGACATTATGCTGCTCCATACTGTTCCCACACTACAAGTTGATTTCATCTTGTGAAGTGTTTTGTAGGAAGAGCCAGCACTTTGAACTGAATCTAGAAGTAAACTGGCAACTGATATTTCATGATTAGTTGAATACAGGACAACTGTGTTTCCAATCAATGGGAAAGAAACTCCAGACATATTAGTAGATTGTCTTATTTACTTTCTTCCAGCTATCTGCCATTACAGGAAGCAACCTAATTTATCCTCACAACAGTCCTGTAAGGCAGTCTTAATGAATTCAACTGACATATTCCCACATGGTACCTTTATATTTCTCAACATGCACATAGATTGCAATGTTTACTGCCACTTAGCCTCCATTTAGTTATATTTAATGATGAACTTCATATCAGCATTGCATTTAATATCCAATACCAAAAAAACCCCCAAGAAACACACAAAACCGTCTGTACCGGAATTCAGATAAACTTATGTGCCATTAAGTACAATTAGTGCATGAATATATGTGTATTAATGTACATATTTGCTCATTGAACAATTTAGATAAACTGCAAATTTAAAATATGGGAAAGGAGCATTTGAGTCCATAAGAGGTTTGGTTCCAATAATAAATTCCAGTTTCTATAAATTCATTAGAAGAATATTTTAAAGACAAGTTTATTTCTACTCTCTTGGCAGTTCTGTACAGACAATAATGGGCTGCCCTCCACCGCACTAAACTGTCAACAAAAAAATTGCCCCCTTAACAAAAAAATTCTAGCTACGGGCCTGCTAAGGAGCAGAGTTTCCAAGGCAGAATAGAGTGAAAGAGCAATCCTACACAGGTCTACTTGGAAGTAAGTACTATGTTATGGCCTTACTCCCAGGAAAGTGTCCTTAGAAGTGCAGCCAGATCATCTCAGTACTCTCCCCCCTCCCACTTTTGTTAACATTACCTACTGGGTATATGGGGTAGTTCGTCAGTCAAGACCTTGGTAGCTATATATACAATATAATGGACCCCGTTCATTTCACAACTCACTGCTGCCCCCGAGTCCCTGAGCAGCATAAAGCGGAGAGGCGCTCCCGCCACTCTCCCGTACAGCGCCTGGCACGCCGGCGGAGCCAACTAAGCATTCTATAGCAGTGCAGCCACGCACATACCTGTACCAAGCGAGCCCCCGGCCATAGCTGCGGTCGAAAAAGTGGGGCTCGGCCCCCGCCGCCCTTACATCCGGATGCACCCGCAAAAACTCGAGCAGCGCCCGGGTGCCGCCCTTCTTCACGCCGACGATCACCGCTTGGGGAAGGCGCTTGTTGCCCTCTCCCCCCGGCTGGGATTGCATTAAGGGATCCCGAGGCGTGCCGGCCACCTCCTCAGCCTGCTCGACGAGGATCGGGGCCGGATCCCTGGCGAGGACGCGCGCTGCCCCGGCTAGGCAGTAACTGGCGTAGAGAGACATGAGAAGGGAGCCCAACACCAACAGCAGTTTTCTCAAGGCGCGGCGGGGCAAGGGCTCGGAGCCTGACGAGGAGGCTGGGGGCGCCCCTCCCCGGGCCATGCTAGGCGGCCCCCCGGGCCGGGGCCATCGCCCCCCACTCAGCCGCTTAGCTTAGACAAGGCAGCCCCATGGACAGAGGCGTTCGATCAGGGCCTGCCACCAAGGTTGGGCGGCGGAGGAGGGTTCCCCTCCCTTTCTTCAGGTCTCAGGAATGTACATGCCCATCTTCCCAGTGCACAAGGGGGAAAGAGATCCTGATAGCGGGGGCCGGCTGTGAAATCTGGCTTCCTTGGACTGAGCGAGGTCCTAAGGGGTGGGGGGGTTCGCTTATGCAGTTAGAGGGTTAACCTCAACTTAAACGAGCTCCTAGAGCGGCCGGAGAGGAGACATCCCGTCTGGGGTAGACCTGAGAGGAGGTGTTGGTTGCCTCTAAAGTGGGAGAGGGCACCGAGCACCGAAATGGGGGCCGTTGGCAGCCGCCTCAAAACGAGCAGTGTTGTGTTCCTAGAATGAGCCGTGCCTCCACGCGCAGCTCCTGTGGGGGCAATCAAACGCGAGAAAGAAGATCTAGACGAGAGTTGGACGCAATGGATCTGTACGAGGATCTGCAGGAGTCCTTCAGGTGACAGATCTCCCGATCGGGGATGCGGAGTTCCACCGCCTTGCCTACAGGATCTCTACACATGCTGCTGAGAAGAACGGAAAGCCAGTCCAAGGGGAAACGCTGCCGTTTTCTTCAAGCTCTGGCGGGGCGTGAGAAGGAAGAGGCTGCGATCCTTAAACTGACGACTCCTTGCAAGCAGTCTGGGGTCAGTGTGAGGTTCACTGACTGCTGGGTTACAACGCCGTTGTTGTTGTTGTTTCTCCGTGTCTCCTCCGCTTTTGCCAGCTTGACTCATTAGCGAATCGCGCCCTCCCCACTTCGCGAGAACGGATGGGGCCGGGGGGGGGTGGTGGTCCTAGAAGCCTTCCAATCGCTTGTCACTTTTCCTGCGGGATTTTCCTTCCCCGGCTGCTCCAGCTGCTACCACACGTGGAGCTCTTGATTTTAGCAAAAACTTCTTTAAAAAGGCTCCTCCGATCGTTCGGAGCCGATGAAATGTTGAAAGAGGCGGATCTGTCTAATGTCGGATGGGGAAAACGGGGGGGGGGGGGGGGGGGCTGATCTGGAAACGCCTACAAATTCCGAGGTTAGGGTTGCCGCTTCGCGTTGCAAACTGACCAGTTAAGATCTGCAGATTAAGAAGCGCCTTTACCTCCAGTAGCTGCTTATTCATCTGTCCTATGAAAATAGTCCTGCTGACTTCATTAGAATTTGTTTCAAATTTAGAATATATAGTTGTATAATTTCATATCCTGACACCATGCCTATGAGTAGTTTACTAATATTCCCAGGTTTAGATATGTAAATTTGACAGTGTGAATCCCCCCCCCCCCATGCTCTGACTTGGATGGTCCAGGCTAGCCTTGGAAGCGAATCAGTGTTGGCCCTAGTTAGTACTTGGATGGGAGATCACCAAGGAAGTCCAGGGTCCTGACACAGAGTGCGCCGGGGGTGACCTCATCAATAGCTTCAGAGAGCTGGTGTTCCCAGTCCTTCACCAGGTCATCTAACAAGCCGTCAGGGGCATCGGATCCCTCAGAGCTTTCTGAAGCCAATCAGGGTCCATTTGGCTCCACTGCCTTAACAGAAAAAGCATGGCATGCTCACCTCCGTAGCTATCAGATCCACATTAATACCCATCCCAAAAATCAAATCCAGCATATGGCCCGCTTGATGCGTGGAAGTTGATATAAACTGGGAGAGTCCCAGTGCCTCTGTGGATGACACTAGGTCCCTGGCCTGAGAAGACACCACATCCTCAGCAAGGACATTGAAGTCACCCAGGTCCAAGAGCCTAGGATACTCCAATGTCCAAACCATTACAGCATCTAACAGGTCGGACAGGGGATCTGCTGGTGCATTAGGCGGTCAGTACACCACCCAGATAGCCAAACTTTCCTTAACATCACATGCTAGGCCAACACATTCAATGTTGGAGACTCTTGGGGCAGGGAGCAACCTGAAGGAACAAAATTCATGAGTAAGCAATGCCACTCCCCCCC